ACCATGCCCCCTACCTGACTGCGTTGAACGCGCGGGCACGCTTTAGCCAGGTGCCCCTTGTCCCCACAAGCAAAGCACTTACGATCAGCCTGAGTCGACGACGATCGCGAACTGGGCAGCTGCGAACGCATAAGCGACTTAAGCATGGTAGCAAGCTGATTCAGCTCGGTAGGAGCGCCGGCGCGTCCGTGGCCCTTACTCGAGCCATGGCGGCGACCGCGAAGATGGCCGGCACCGTAGGGGTGTGAGCTCCGAGAAGAGGAACGAGAAAATGGGGGCGCATGGCCGCGAGACCGGTCAGGGCCGGTGGACGAGGTGCCAACCATACTTAACTCAGTGACCTCATCACGCTCCTCTTCAAAAAGAGGACGAGCGGACTCAACCGAGGCAACCAAGGTAAGGGACCCCGGTGCCTTACCAGCCGTAAGTTGCCCGTAGATGTGTTTGGTCTGCGAAGTCTTAGGGAGACTAGCCCAAAAAAGACTGGCCGCAACAGAATCGCGGTGGACAGGATCGAGGAAGGCCCAGGCCACGGTACACCACTCGATGATGTTGGCCGCCAGCTCGTCTACCGACGGACCAGGCACAGCGGGGTCGTAGGTGCAAGAACGCAGCCTAGCGAGGGCCTGAGGGACCGTCAGGCCGTAGGCCTTGTCAAGGGCCGCCCAAATAGCTTCGACGGCCGCCTTAGGGTCCTGAGGCAACTGGTAAACGTCAATCTAGGATCACTCGCAGCTTAGCTGCTAGTCATCAACACGAAGTCAAATGAATTGAGTTGAGAAGTGGTCAATCATAAGGACACACATGAGAGACTAAAAGTTGACGGCCCATCACATACAATGCTCCAAAATGACCCTCTATACAGCGTGTAAGACATCATAATTGTGCTATCAGGCTGGATGTGGATGTAGACATTTGAGAACATTCGAGATGTAAGTTGCATGCGTCCCGGGCAGGTCCCAGTGAGGGGACGCTGCCCGGGCCGCGAAATCATTTTTGGCCTCAATGCGTACAGAGGAGTCTTTTGAGTAGATTTCCTCTTTCTGTGAGTGTTGGAGAGTATTTGGAAAGTTTGAACGAAATCTGACGGTAGACAGCGAAAATCGCGTAAGCAATGGGCAAACCGAAGCACGATAGGTTCCGGCCAGGGATGTCCGGAAGTTGGTTTTAGCGCTCGCCCAAAAGTGGTACCCTCCCCACACTCGGCTCGCGGAAGACTCTTGTCTCCCGAAGTGGGTGGTTGCACCAGGCGAGCCGCAGGACCAGTCAAGAAGGCCTTGAGCTTGGCCACGACCATAGGCCACGACCAGCGGCGAGCGGCAGAGAGAGCCACGAAACGACGGCGCCATTCCACAAGGCCTATAGTCTTGGGAGCACCCGAAAAACGCTCCAGCTTGAGAGCTTTGTCGGTGGGATCCGCAGTCTCGCCCTCGGTTCGAGTCCCTCCATCCACGGGGACGTCGGCCTCCTCGAGGGCCATGAAAGAAATCAAGTCGAGAGGCTCAGAGTCGTCCGGAACGAAAGCCGGAGGTTCAGCGAACACATCGCTGGGTCTGGGCACCATGTTGGTAGGCTCCGGACTCTGAGGTGACAAACTCGACATGTAAAGAGTGATTAACTTGTAGTAAAGCTATCTAGGGGGCTCCAAGCCACACAACCGTCTCGTCTCCCAGTCCCCCTGGTGACCGCATCACGTGACGTGACATAGCTGGCTCCGCGCGCCCGCCTCCTGGCGTGCACATGCGCTCGCCAGCTACTTCTCAGTGAGAGTGCCGGTTCGGCCGTGTTATAAATGAGAAGTTTAGGAACGCGTCATTGAGCGCCGATCCTATCCCCGTGGTGAGGGCCTAGTTGACCATATTGTTAGTGAAAGGTTCAGGAACGTATCAGCAAAGCTGATCCCATACTCAGTGGGAGTGTCTAGTTGGCCAAGCTGTTAGCGAGAGGCTCGAGAACGCATCTTCGAGTGCAGACGCTATCCTCAGTGCGAGGACCCAGTTGACGGTATTATTAGTGAGAGCCTCTCGCTGAGAGGCTTGGGATTTGGAATTCCAAGTAGAGAAAATATCCCCGAGCGCGGATTCAACCCTCAGTATGAGGATTCAGTAAGATTGAGTCGGCGACAAAGTTTGTGTCGAAACGGGCACGCTGTAGGATACGTGCATAGCGGAAAGGAGAGTACCAGGAGCCGACTGTACCATTGAACTAGCTACTAGAGCAGTCGGCACATTCCATGGTAAGACCATCGACAGGGTGACCGATCTGGAAGGATTACTGACCAATGACACGCTCTTGGCGACTTTCTACAAGAGGCTCTCTCCTGAAGTAGCGAGTGCTACAAAAGTGACCAGGGTGTGTTGGATATGAAGTTGACAACGCAACCTCAGATATCGCTGGTGCGCTTAAAAGGGGAGGTCAAGAAGGTGGTGGACTCAATTTCGGGTAAACGTGCTCCACGGTGGAGCCTCCACCTACGAGAGTTAGAGGGGAGTTCTTGAGGAGATCAACAACCAAGTATCGTGCTCTCGTGACCAATAACCTACTGGTAGACCCTCCTATGCTCTCGGCACTTTTAGCAGATCCGGGTGTATTTCGTACGATGCGTATACCATGTGATGCAGCGGATACTCAGGAGTCGACAGAGACTACTAGTCTCAGACTAGTTGATGCTTAGACGGCGAGTCTGTTCAAGTGAAGATCCGACCAGGTATGAGAGAGCCGTGCTGCTTCAGTGAGCTCATCTCAGTGCTTTGTGGTTGGCTGGTAGCGGTAGAGGTATCATGTTTGCCACAAAGAAGTGCCACCGTGCCAGGAAAGCGGAGTACTTATGCTATCTGGCTAAAGTGCGTATGATGTCTGGTGATGTTTCAAAAGTGTGTATGTGTCAGTGTCATAATCTCTGACGAGCTGCCTGACCAACAATTGGGAAGAGCGAGGTATCCTCACTGAAGGTCCACTGGGGAGTACCTTCGTTGCTCAGGAGCTCGTAGCAAGAGGCGGAGCAATTGAAATTGGGGAGACAATAGATTAGGTTCTTTCAGAAACTACCGGTTGTGTTTCGAATGAGAGGCATTCGATGGATATTAGCAGTTCTTCAATCGCCAAAACAAAAAAAATATAGGGCAGATAATGGGAGTGGATCATCGACCGAGTAGGAGGCGATGAAGGCCTTCCGAGTGTTGACGAAATCAGAGAGAAAAGCAAGGAGAGCAGCACTACTAGCAGACTCCACACGAGAGAGTACGGAGAGGAGCTACCGCTCGGCGGTGAGCCATTTTGAGAAACTCAACGGTATGGTCGGGTCCTCGTTGACCAAGCCAATATCCCTCCAGAAGCATTTCGGGAGTATGTTAGCGCGATAAAGACGACTAAGGTGCGTTCATGAGTTAGTTTCACCCTAGAAGAGATGAGCATCGTTGAGAGAGGAGATAAAGGAGGCCAAAATCGTTTGGCACATAGATCCAAGCCTCCGGGAAAGGCAGGAGTTCTACCGGACGAGGCAGTTAAAGTCCTAACGGGTATAAGTCCTATAGCTGACATAGCTATAGCATAGTGGGGCCACAATTCTGGTAGATTCGGGATGCGAGGATAGCACAGTGAAGTGTGCAGGCGGTTCGAGTCAATCGAGTAGAGCTTGGCAAGACTACGCCAAAGGAGCCTAAGGCTCCGAGCCTTGATGCGCTGCATGAGGGACACTCCAGATGAAAAAGAAACAATAGGTAATAAGGAGTACAGCGAGAGGAGGGGATGAAAAAAACATGGATCGATTGTGTCATCGAAGTTTCTGGTGAAGCCCAGAGTTCGGTGGATAGTGGAGAGATTTGGGTGACGGGACAGACCCGTGTGAGACGTGAGTCGTTGATACGACACCACCTTGTCGGGCACCTGTCCCGTGACCGAAGCTTCAGGGGGGGAGCCCTGCAAGTCTTCGGTCCTCTCCACACCACCTAGTCGACTAACTCTATCAAAGTTCCCCTGGTTAAGTGTAAATAATTAGAGGATCACTGGAGCCAGAGTTGACGTTTACCAGTTGGGGCGTGTAGCTGGCGAGCGCATGTGCACGCCAGGAGGCGGGCGCGCGGAGCCAGCTATGTCACGTCACGTGACGCGGTCACCAGGGGGACTGGGAGACGAGACGGTTGTGTGGCTTGGAGCCCCCTAGATAGCTTTACTACAAGTTAATCACTCTTTACATGTCGAGTTTGTCACCTCAGAGTCCGGAGGCTACCAACAAAGCTCCATACTGTGAAGAACACTGAACATGAAAATTGGCCATGTGCATGTTTTCCCACACTGTTACTGGTAGACTCGTTGAAAACGAGCCTATGTCCTAAGTAACGCAGGCGCATTCGTTAAAGAGTCGTTAACGAGTGCGCTTGCGTTCTTGAACGCTCCGACGTCCAATCCAAGATCCTCCCGTCCCATTGCGAGACCGGCATTGCACATCAGGAAGCTTCTACAGACCACATTTGCTCATTGGGATCTCCCCAGCTCTTCTTAGCCGGATTCGAGGCTCAGAAGTCAGTCAAATGAGGTGACGCGGGGATCTCACACTCTTCCACGTGAAGTTTGTAGTTGTGCATGCGTGCGGCATGCTGAAAGGTGCGGAAGATAGTTGTCAACCTTGTACCTCTCCTCTGCGGACCACCTATAACCGACTGGGGTCCATCTTAGATCGTAGAACTCGCTCATAGATCGTAACATGTCAGTTTATTCGTCCCTCTTACCTTTTCTATCGCCATGTGCTCGAAAATCTTCTGCTTGCTGTTCCCCTTCATAGGCGTTCACTACGTCTTGGGTGCGGGGAATGTGCGTATGCACGTTACTACCAAAAAGTACTGCAACCTTGGGCTGGTTGATGCCTATGGCAACCCAGCGCCGTGTGGTACCTCGAAAAGCGGAGATACGTTCGGCCTCACCTTGCCTGGTATGGAAGATGGTTTCCAAACGACCAAGGAGGATGTGATCATCGCCAGGGACGGCCAAGTGTCGGTGCGAGCATCTCCTGCTATTCCGTATACTTTTGTCATGTCAATCGACTCCCCCAACTACAAGGGGGTTGAAAAACTGTACAATCACCAGTCGTTTGTGGTATCTGTGGAAGCGCCCGCTGATGCCGCCCTCGAGCAAAGTGCCGCCTTCGAGAAAACTCTGGCCGATGACGGTTGGGTCTCCCAAGAGTCCGACGATGCTTCTATGAATAAGTGGATACTATACGGCCCTCAAGGAGTCGATCCCAACACCGGTGCCAACTATACCGCGATTTACCAGACTGGTCTCGCGCCTGATGCTTGGATTCTCTACACTGACGAGAACAACGAGAAACCCAAAAAGCTTCTTACCGTCAACACCTTGTTGAACGACAGGGTATTCCAAGAATCCACTTTCGATAAGGTGGAATCTCTGGAGGACAGCATCACAGTTGCTGAGGCCGTGCATGCTCTTTACAGCAACTATCAGATTGACGGTGGTCGTCGGCTCACCGGTGGCAACGAGCTTGACGCCCCTTATGTGGATGGTGATATGATAGATGCCCCGTTCGTTTCCGAAAAGACCCGTCAGTTCTTCTGGGACGATCGTGATATGGACTGGATGAGCAAACGTAAACTGAGGTCTTCTGAAGGGTTCAAGGGAATCAGCTACTTCACGATCGAGAAGGGCTCGGCTGCTGACAAGTATTTCCATGCTCACCGCACTCTTGCCGAGATCGTCAAGTTCGAGTACCCCAACGGTTGTGTCGCTGCTGGTGGGAAGCAGGAACAGAAATACTGCATTTTCGTCTCTCTAGACGCCTCTCTCGATCCTTCTGTAACTCTCAAGGCCGGTATGAGCTTCATCGATATTCATGATGCCAGTAAAGTCGCTCATCTGTCCATTGGAGTGACCTTGAAAAAGAACGAGGATAGTATGCTGAGCCTTACCATCGATGCTGGCGGATGCGCGGTCGTGTTCCAGTATGGTCAAACCGATGGAACCCATCTGAAAATATCTGTATGCATGACCAGCAAGGACCCGGCTAAGAAGAGACCAGATGGTGCGATCGAGGGCGAGGTTGCAATCACCGTCAACTTCATGGTCCACTTGCCGTACGTTGGTGACCTCATCGACTGGGATGTTAACGCCAAGGTTAACTGCACTGCCGCCCTCAAGAACGACATTACAGCATACGGCGTTATCGGCACTTCTGCAAGTGCTAAGGTCGCGTACGCCGCTGTGAGCCTCGACATTACGGCCAACACTCTTGATCATGCGTACAACAAATGGCACTTCGTGTCTGGTGTTGATTTCCACGCTTGGGCGGGTGTGTGGAAACTCAAAAAGCATTGGGACTATCACTGGGCGCTGTACGAGGCCGGCCCTGTAACTATATAAAGTAGAACCCGGTGTCAAGATATTGAGAACTAATGTTAAGATAATGTATTTAGTATCCATAATATGGATTCATATGATATCATATTTCTGTTAAATAGCCTTCGTGGGTCTTAATCAGCTCACACGAGTCCCGCACGATGATCAATGTCATTTCATCGCAGAAAATGGTGTAGCGTTGGTTTTCAGGTAACACTTATGAT